GCTGATGCAGTGTAGTATGTGAAGCTGCAGCTGAATGGTCTTCATCATTTCTGTCAGTTTGAAATCTGTCTACCTCAGTAGCATGAATTTGCAAGATGAAGTGGTTACACTCATCAACGAACTGCCTAATATTTCTTTAAATTTAATACAGGGATACTTTAACTTCTTCATGCAGTGTGATTTTTCTTAAGTTATACACATACAAACTTTTCTTTGTTTTGCCCCCTCTCCCCCACCTTGGTTAATCGAGACAGAAGATCTAATAAGCATATACTGAGTTGCAAAATCATTACACTCTCCACTCTCCCCAAAAAAATAACTCAAATTCAGATCCAGTATGTAGCAAGAAAAAAGGTATAAAATGAGCACAAGGAAAATGAATGTGAATGTGAGCTGGAAAAAGGAATTCAAAATGAAATAAAGGGCAGTTATTGATAGTGTGTGTGACTAAGGGTAGAATCTTATCTTAATTATAGACCTGTGATCCAGAATTACTGCATTGTTAGCTGATAATTAAATCAATGAAGTGATTAAAGATGTGAGCTGATATCACTGAGATCAAAATCTGACTGGTCAAGAAAGAGGTTGTTTAAAACACGGTGTTATCAAGAGGGAGAATTCAATTTCAGTACTTGTGTGATCAGCATCATTTGGGCAGTTGTAACCTGACTGCATGGCTATTGAGATATTCCAGATTTTCTAGAAGTAATCTTATCCTAAGATCTGTTTGCTCGTGTATTTCTACTTCTAACATATTACTGTGGCTTAAAAAACGAACAGAGTAATTTTTGTGGGAAAAGCCTACCTTTTGAGGGGCTGAAAAAAAAAGCCCTTCTCTGTATTTATGCCTAGGTGGATTTTTGTCCAAATTTGTTTTTCTTCTGGAAAATCTCTTGTCCTAGTGGACAAAATTTCTGTTGCAGTGTGAAAGTTTTGGGAAGATAATTATGGACAATTGAAAGGTGTGAGTGCAGATGGGAATACTTACATGACCTTAATTCCAGTTGTTGCTATTACATGGCTGTAATGAAACTACTGCCATGGCATTCCTTTTAAATTGGTTACACTAGAGATGAGTATGATCCTTCAAATCCTGATGTTATACCAGGTATTAGCTCTCTTAATTTCTTCCATCCCAGTTATTTCTCTGGCACCTATTGCCTTTAAGAACAGTTCAGCTGAGCTCATTTAAGTGCAAAGTCAGTGCTTACTTCTTAGCTTTTAGCAGCTGGCTAATTTAAACTCTGTGAAGAGTTTATGATGATGTTTGCAGGTGCATGGGATCACACTGTTCTTGCCTGCCATGCTGGGTATGACACACACTGTCTTTGTATGTGTGGTTTCTGATAGGAAAGTTTCAGATCTTCTGGTTTGCCAGAGGCCTGCGGATTAGTACACTCACTCTCCTTCTGGTCTGTTTTCTTCACCTCAGGCAAGCAGTGTGGCTGTAGGGTTGCCACTGCTGTGAGTAATAGGTATCTCTGTTTCTAAAGGGATTGTAATGTCTACGTCTTGGTTGAGGACAGTGCCGGGTTCACCTTCTCTTGTAATCCCTTTTCATCCATCTTTTTCCTGCACTCTCTTCCTCTCATCTCTGGTTGGGCTCTCCACTAACCACTCAGCTGAAACCTGTGTAGGAGATACGTCAGGCTTCCAAGCAAGCCGCTGCTGCTTGATGGCCAGATGGCTGCTTGGACTCTTGGCAGGCTGAGCTGCACATTGGATGCAAATTGGCCAGTGAGTTAGATGCTAGGTACAGAATTAACACAACTGGTAAGTTTAATTTGTATTGTATCATTACTGTCAAATACTGAAGAGAGTCACCAAACTAGGCAGCACATTCTAGTTTGAAAAACTGTTAAATCACTGGTAATAATTTTTACATCCTGAAGAGCTAGCAAGACAGAGGGAAAAATGTAGTCTGAAGATAAGTGAAGAAGGACTAAACTGGCAGCACACAGAAGAATGGTAATATAGAACAGCAAGAAGATTAGCTCCCGAACCTAATGAATGCCTTTGAACATCCCAGTAGCACAATTCAGTGGGTTCAGTAAATATATCAGAAGAAAGTTCTGTCAAACTGATTTTAAGTTAACATTTTTTATGAATTCTTTTGTCCTGTGTGAGGTAACAGAGCATTGTGTAGTGGAAGAAAACAAGGCTGCTGCACCAATCTTGCGGGTCTATTGTAGACCCAGCTACACATCTGGACAATCACAGCCCAAGTCAGCCTCATCTCATAATGAACAATCTGATTGCTGTCACACGTGACCTACTTCCAGAGCTTGCTTTTCTTTCGGGTCCCAGGGAGGCAGGGTGTATCTGCTGACTCTGACATCACAGACAACTCTCTGGGTTCAGAGGGTTGGCCCTGCTGACATGGTGTGACATGGGAAGAAGAGGATGATGAGATACAGAGTTACTCAAGGTGGAATAGAAAAACAAGTCTTGTTCATCAAGGTGTAAAACAACTTCTGGCTGTACAGAACAAAGAAGATACTCCTCTGTGGCTGGATTTGTGGAAAAGTGGGAATGTTTTCCCCTTTTCTTCTGTTTTTGTTACTACTACTGTAGTAGCATGGAAAGGTCAAGGTTCAAGAGTGAAGTCCAGTTTGAGAAAATTTTACTGCATAGAGAAAAGTTTTGATTTAAAAAAAAAAAAAAAAAGAAAAGAGGATTTGAAATTGAATTAGCAAAACACTAGGTTACATTACATTAAACTAATCGTCAAACATCTTGTTTGGACAAATGCTAAAATAAAATGTGTCACAAAAATGCTGTTCACTTGAAAGAAGCGATACTTTGCACTTTAAGAATAATTATAGACTTTGTCTGCAACAGTGGCTGTCACCATTCACCAGCTGCTAGATGAGGGCCAGGAAAACAGGCAAGATGCACTTAATCAGTGGTGAAATTAAGGGATCTGAATATAACAGCATCTCCTTTGAATGGCTGCAATGAAAACAAAATGCTTAAAATGACTGTAGATGCTTCACCTGTTCAGGCCCGGGTCCCACCTAGTTACTGAACAAAGTTCTAGTTGCTTTTGCTTCCAGAGCTATTAGTCAGACTGAAAAGTAAGCTGTAACCACACTGCAGAAAAATGTTTATTGTTGGATATGGGTGTGAAAGGTTTTACCAGGAGATTTATGGTAGAAATATGAGGTAGGCAATTTTCTTTGTGAGTTATTATTGGCACATATATTTCTAATTTTTTTCCTCTTATATAAGTTCTACGTGAATATAAAGATAACTGCTAATGATTCAGGTTTCCAAAATTGTTGTTGAAGGACGGAGTGTGTCTGCAATAGATTCATATTTGTCAGAAATCAGTTCGTCAGCAGAGTGAAAGTTAGGAGCCACAGCACAGAGATTTGGCAAGCACGCCTGTCCTGATTAGATATAGCAGCTTATAAAAGTGAAAAAAAATACCAGATTAGGTTTGAAGATGTTAAAGACTCTGTGAGAATCACTAGAAAAGAAAAAAAATTAATTAAAAAAAAAAATTGGTGCTTATATTCTGTTGGTGATGTAGTACTAAGGCAAATCTGAAGATGGGGAAAATTAATGACAGTTTCCTGCTAACACAATAATCAGGGAAGGGTTTATAATTGTGACATGAAATATAAGTAAAAATAATCAGTGTTTTGTCTGAGGGCAAATACTTCCAGTAACCAAAGGCCATGGATGGGGGAAACAGGCTTTAGAATTGAAGGAAACAAAATACTTTATTCTTTATTTTAAAATATATCTCTCATGAAGGGCACTGATAGCAATGAATAATCAGCACATTGGCAGTATAAATTCCATTTTACATATACAGTGGCTTGTTGCAGTTGATATCTATCCACTGTGTTTTTTTCTATGTAACTGTTCTTTCAAATGCTGAAGTAATTTCAGATAACTGTCAGTAACAGCAAGATTTCAACTCAGTGTATGACTATGAAGTACTTCTATTTTTTTCTGTCTGCTGTATCCTTTTCAACTTAGTATCACTCTAAAATAGGCAGTTTTAATATTGAAATTATTGTGTATGGATCAATGTCTGACTTCAGCTTAGAACGACCAGTGCTGGAAAGAGGGGCTTATGTTCTCTGGAAGGAATCATTCCTAGATTTCTGATTTATTTGCTTTTTTCAGCATTGAGACTTCATCAGAACTTTGAGAACTCTGAAGACTTGGTTCTGAATCAAACTGCCTGAATGGGCTCAAGCCTACAAAAAATCAAACTTGCATGATTTTGTTAAGCATTATTAAGTTTTTTGTTTTTTGGTTTTTTTTTCTGTAACACATTTGACACTTCTAGGGTGTATATGTTTGATTTGCTGGGTCTTCCTGCTACAAGGAACTGCATAGCTCAGTTGTGACTTTGTTGTTTCTCAATGCTTCAGTGATCCTGAAGTATTCCTGGCAGAATTTCATGCTCTGTTATATCACACTGCATTGTCTCACAGCGATCATGCAATCTTGAGACAACATTCAACCTTAAGCAGGATGTGCTTAAGCTGGTACCAGCAAAGATGTCATTTGGGGATTGATTCCATATGTGCATATGTGTTATAAAAACAAGTTCTAAACTTCCTCTTTCTGATGGTAAATCACAACCGTGATTGGAAGTGTGTAGAATTTGACATCACTGGTATCCTTGGTCCTGTAGAAATCTATAGCAAAACTAAACATTCTGTCAAAAAAGATGCCTTTCATTTGGAAAGATTGTTGTAGTGTGTTTCCAGAATGCTTATAAATATCCCATTGTGCCTAGGAGTGAATGGAACAGTAATCTAGTGGCATAATGATGTAGTGTGCCTTAGGTTAAATGGGGAACAGCTGAAGGAAGTTTGGTATTGTATTATTAAGATGTTGGGCTAGATTGTGTTTCTGTGGCTCTGCAATCTGTGATTTTGTAACTGAATGTTTTTTTCTGAATGCTCCTTCCAGCAAACCATTCCCTGTTGTGTTTGTTTTTTTTTTATTAACTTACGTTTATTTTTTTTCAACAGATGGACAAGACATTTCACAATTCCATTTTAAGAAAAAAGTACATCCGCTCACGCTTAGTCAGAGTGAGGTATGTAAGATTCTACAGAACACATATAGATGAGATGTAACAACATGCTCACCAGGGGCAGCTAGAGAGCCGTTGATATGATTCAGTGTGGGAGTGTTATGTATGTCCAGAGCACAATCTGTAACTGATCATAATCTTAACATTCGGATCTTGGTGCAGAAGATATATTTTGGTCAGTCCAAACTCTGTATTAGGTTGTGCTTGAATCTTCAGTAAGCATTAGCTAATAAAACAGATATAACTTGAGCTATCTGAAAGTTAAATTTAAAAAAAAAAAAGGCATTTTCAAAACTTTCTTTCACAATAATGCAGATGTCATGATGTCATTTTACTTTTACAATTGCTACTCTGGTAATGTTGTCAAGTAAAACATCAATACTGCTGTGCTGGTTAGGAAGGGACCCTCTTGTCTGTTGGATCTCTTAGAGCAAGCATAAGCAGGTGCTTAGGGAGCAGCACCAGCACAAGTTAACTGTTTCAGAGGTTTCTGCTCCTCTGTATGATCTCTATCTCCAGCTGTTTACCACTTGGGATTTCCTGATGTGGTTGTGGTTTATCTGCTTGACAATCTGCAGTAGAGGTCTTTTCTGAGGACTTGTCCAATCCCAAACTCCTTGTACCTCCATCTTTTAATAAGGAGTTTCTTGTGAAAGAACCACCTCCTTTGGATCATTTGATGGCTTATAATTCTTATGCTGAAGGAAGTGGTGAAAGTCAACTTCCATCCCTCCTCTCTGAGCAACAAGTGGTATCAGGCACTTCCCTTTTTGCTTCTGAATTCCACGAGTTCTGCTCTTTTTTGAAAACTTCAATATGCTCAGCAGTGCCTTGCAGGAGCTGTTTCTTCTTGCCTTGCTCTAAATCTCTGCTCTGCCACTTTTTGCGGTGAAGAGATCAGGGATTATGGTGGTGAAATGATGTTCTTGTTTTGCTTTATTCGCTTTTCATTTGCCACTAATACCCAGTGTTTGATCTCTCCTTGTAGTTCTTTTGTCTGTGAAATCCTAGCTTCCGCTTTATCTTAGCTTAACTCCCAGCTAAGCGTACCACACGAGTCATTATTTGAATATTTCAGCATAGCTTTGGGAATGTTTTCAGATACTGGCTACAGTGTTGTAAATGGAGACAACATGGTTTAAGGATCTGAGAGGCCAATATGCAAGGAGAAGTAATACCGTTCGCTACTCTTTGTTCCCAAAGACAGGCTGACGTGCTTGCTGTGAAGTTTGTAATGCTGACTGCATGACCTGTGCACACCAAAGCTTATTTGCTTCTTCAGATATATCACTTGGTCTAATAAAACTATTTCTTTCTGCAGACTTCATACCTCTCTAAGTGCTTAGACTGCAAGCTCTCCTAATAGAGTAATCTTGTGAACTTGTTTGGAAAGCATTATTTTTGGTTCAGAAGAAGCAATGCATTAGTAAGAATATCCACCATTTACCAATGTAGACAGTATGTGTCTTTGGCTCTGGATCTTTGCTATATTGAGAGTGATTCAAGGCAGGCTGTACTTACCTGAAGGTTTCAAGAGGTGTGGTGCATTTGCAAGAATTGATACAGTAATTCCAGTGTGGCACAGTACAGGAAGAGGAGTGGGGGGGGAGAGGTTAAGGAACACCTTAGAAATGCAAAGCAACACCCACATTTGGATCAGATAATATCTGGAGAATAAACAGAGTAGCAGTCATGCTAAAATTGGCAGTAAGGGAAGAAAACGCCTGTTGGAAAGTTCACGTATAGCTAGCTACTAGGTCTCAGTTACAAGATCCTTGAGGCAAGGTGTGTGCTGTCTGCTCAGTTATGAAGCACTCAGTGTACCATGGTGGGCTAATAATACCTCGTCTTTTCATTACCTTTCACTGGCAATAGCAGAACTATCTGTTTTGTTTTGGTGCTTGTTCTTTTCTACTTTTGTATGATGATTACATGATTTGTGCAAAAGCTGCTCTCTTTCTGTTAATTTTATTTTTCCTTTATATAATTACAACTGCTTCAAACAGTGAGATATAACTGGAGGACCTTCTCTTTCACTTCCCTGTCTTTACCCAGGAATGTCCAAGCAGATACTCTGACTTTGAGGCTGCAGTGATGAAAATTAGGTTGACTACTCTCTTCTTTTCTTAGCTACCTTTTGATGGCAGTTGGAGATTTTTTTCTGTGTACATACAGGGCGCTGGAAAGGTCTATCTAGATACTGATAATTGTCTTTCTGATGTTTCAGAAGTATGTGTATCCAGCTTTTCATTGCAAGCAAATCAGTTCCATTCCCTCCTGTTCTTGCATTGCAAATGTGTGGTCAGTGACTGCTTTTTAGACCCCAGGGCTGTAACACTGGTCTGGCCATTTATTCACAGAAAGCCTCATGCCTTGTGTTAGTCTAAGATACATTGGACAATTTGGAACTTCTTGGATTTCTTTTAATAATCAGTTCTCTAAATTGTACAAAACATTCAAGCATGTATTTAATCCTCTGTTTCATTGCTGTTGCTAAGATGAAAACTAAGAAATGTAAAAATGAGCTGAAGGTAACCGGACTGTGTTTTGTTGGTTTGTAGTCCAGATGCTGATGGTGTGGTGACAGAAGCTTTGCTCACATTCTGGTTCTCTGCCACGGATTGCAAAGAAGCACTGCGCAAAAGAGTTGAAAGGATCTTATGGAGGGGCCTGAAAAAATACACTGGGCCCCTGCGAATAGATGTCAGATCTTCTACTGTCTCAAGTAAGGACATTACTTCTCTCTTAGATCTAGTTATTGTTCTGTTCTGATTGATTTAACTTGATTTTGCCTTCTGATGATGTTTACCCATCAGCGTAAAGAGTGAAAGCCTCACCACAGTGTTTTGGTACATAGCAGTGCAAACAAACATGCTCCTTAGGTCTTTACAGCCCCAGGGAGCCTGAAAGTGCAAAAACGATGCCTGGATGTTAGTCCTTGTGGGGAAACAGCACACGCTTTGGAAAAATTCTTTTTTACTGTGAGGATCAAAATTCCTTTCAGACTCCTAGGTTAAAGAAAAAGAAAGGAAGAGTGTTCTTATCAGTGTGACCTCTCAGGTGAGGATCTGGATGTTTCTTTACTTATGAAATTGGCATCTGACTGATGTGAAGAATAGCAGCACTGTTAGTGATTGATTTAGTGATTTGCTGAACAGATGAGTTTTCTCCTTCGTGCTTCTACAATTCTGATCTGTTAGAGAGTTTTTCTGTAGGCTTAGACTCTTGTCTCTGCGCAAGGCTGCTTTGTTTATTAGTTAGCATTTTTTTTGTGAGTCAGACTTTTCAAGAATGAGTTGCTGGTCAAAAGGAAGGGGCAGATACTTGCTTCACTCGTTTTTGCAGTTCTTCTGTTTACTCCTGACACAACAGTGACAGTACAGTACATGGATACGTATACTTCCTGATTGCTTGTTCGTGCTAGACAACTTAAGCCAGCAAAGGTGCAAGGAGGCGAGACAGCTTTGTTGAATGAATCTTGGGCTAAATCCCGTGCTGGATGGATCCAGGCTTCCTCCCACTCAAAAATGATTGAGAGCAACTATTTGTTCTGTCTATTGGTGCTTGAGGTGGGTAGATGCATTGCAACAATGTAGGGAAATTCAAATATGAGTGTCATATGGACATTGTTTCTTGATGGGCCAATCAGTCCTCATCATTGGGATGGCTCATGATGGTAAATGTCATCCCTGTGAACAAGGAAGCACCACTTATCTTATTCGTTTCATGTAGAAACAGCATGTAGCCATAAACCAAAGACAGTGAAAGAGTGCTGTTGTTGGTTTTTTTTTGTTTTTTTTTTTAAAGGTGTTTGGATCATGACTTACTAAATCTTAAAACTCTGGTTTAGTTTGACTTACTTAAGGAATAAAATTGGAAAGAGTGTAAAGGTGATTGTTAGAAAATAAACATGATCTTCTCATCAAGTTACTAGCTATTTATGTTTAATCTGGTAAATAAGAGAAGTGGTTCAAAACTCTGTTTTGTTGACCTTGAACTGCACCAGCGCTACCACAGTAATACATTAGTTGCTAGTTAAAAAAATTATCTGGTACAATTGAATCACAGTGTTTTCATTAAATACTTGGTTTCAGATAAAGATGGCATCTCAATGTTGCTTTGATAAAATTGTATGATAAACCTCCTGTTGCTTTAATTGGCTGTCCCATCTAAACCATAAAACACTGACTACATAGGTCTGTTACTCAGAACAGGACAAGCATTGTGCAACTGTTAAACATGATATAAAAGGTTCATAAACAATACCCTGCCATTTCTAGAAGACAACAATAAAATTTGAATCTTTCTTTGCTAAGGGTATTTCAACTGTATTATGAGTCTTAAGCAAGCTACATTTGGCAGTGCCATTTAGAAAATCAGGTTGACTCAGGTGGAGAATACAGGAGCTCTCCTGTACTTTCTGAGGAAATGAATGTCTCAAATACAAAGTTTGTCTCCTTCCTCAGTCCTGGAAGAAATGACACTTTACAACAGATCCCAGAAGTCCAGAGAACTTTTGCATTTTAGATTTCTCTTTGTCCAACTCTAGTATTTGAATCAAGGACAGTTGAGAAGCCCTATAAGGGTCCATGCTCTGTATTACTTTTCTAACTTTTGCTTCACTGTAGCTTTGATGGTTTTGCCAGCTGGAATCCTTGCTTATCTTGAGGCAGTTCTAGAACTTTTTCGTAACAGTTTCTAAAAAAAAATCATTAGACCTTTCAGTGTAATCATTTTATGAAAATATTTTAATTTGAGGGTCATGGTATAGCATAGCTTAGGTAAGCATAGCTAACTAGTTGAAGAAATCCAGGTCAGGCACTTATTTAAATGGCATGCTAGGAGGGTCTGATAAGGAGAATGAGTAAGTCTTCCTCCCAGCATCTGATCTAATCTTGTTATTCAACACTGTCTCAACTTGCACTTCACTCAAAAGTGTTTGCTTTTTGGGGATCAGATCCAGCAAACTGCTTGCAGACTGGGTGCAGGCTTCCAATCTTCAGCTGCTGTCCGGGGCAAAAGCACAGAATTAGTCTGCCAGCCAAGGATCTTGCTTTCCCTCTTTATTTCAGAGGATGGGGAATAAATAGCTTTGAGGAGATAAAATCTAAACTGATGATGTTTAGAGGTTTTTTTGTTGGTTTTGTTTTGTTTTTGAAAAACACAGAAGGTGGATAGCATTGATGTGAAAATACAGCAAGTATGTAAAACAAGGAAAAAAAGGCAAAATAATATTATTTCTATTTTGTATCATCACTAAATAGTTAATGGTCTTTATATAGGGATGGAAAAAAAACAAAAAGTTCTTGGGATGTCTTCACATGTCTTATTACTGGAGTCCCTGTTCTTTTTTCTTGTCCAGCTTACAGTTCCTAGACTCCTAGCCAACTATGGTGGTATTTCCAGATATCAGCTATAGGTCTAAGAGGAAATGGGAGGTGATAGAGATTTATGCATTTGCATCCAATGGAGTTTCACTGTCTAAATATTTTCAGTGAAGAATCACATGAAGTCCTAACTTCTCATTCTGCTGTCTTTCCACTCTTCAGAGATGTCAGGTCATGACTGATATAGGAAAAACCCAAATTAGGACTTACTCTTCCACTGGCACTGAAAGAAGGTGTTACAGTTTGTCCTCTATATAGTTCTGGCACCAAAGAGATAAGGCTGTTCTGTTTTTTTTTCCCCAGGATTTCCTGGTTAGAAGTAGAGTCACCTCACAGCCTGCATCCCTGTTAGGCAAAGTATAGAGCAGCTTGCCAGCCTATTTCCCTTTGCCAGGTAGGTTGGAAGTCTCTCAAAAAGTGTTTTTGGAATATACTCTTGACGTCAGAAAGAAACTGGTTGCAAGACCAGTGGCACTGTTCAAAGTGAGTAGGAAGTATTCCCATCTATCACTCAGCCAAGGGTTTTGACCATGAACTATGAGTCATGCATTGGTTTTGATCAACAAGTCAACTGTTATTATTTCTATTTATCTGGCATCAGATACTTACTAAAGCTCCTTGCAAAGTACAGAGCCTAAGAAATAGATTCTTTCTTCTTTATCAAGTCTTATTTGGGAGACATGCAGATGAGTGTCTGACCTGAATTACTGAATAATATTTAATCAAGTTGTAGCTCAAAGAATATATCTGGCAATCTTTGCTTTTCTTGTATTTGATATCTGTACAACCCAACAGCATCCTGGGGTAGTAGAACAGGATGTGTATCAACACACTGACAAATACAACAGAGTTCAACATTCCCCCACTTTGACGATGTTACCTTGGCACAAGGTGGTATATTTCAGTGTTTGCAGCAGTTTACAGAGCCTGACTGAAATGGGAGACACTGAAATGTATCTTAAAATGAGTATTTTTGCAGAAACTGAGCCATGCATTAAAAAGACTTAGGGAATAAAACAGTTCTCAACTTCATGAATGGTGGGTTCTCCTGTATGCCTAAGGGAAGGAGACAGTACTTGAGGCAGAGCAGGTAAGTCAGCAGCAGCTGTTAGCCCCTGCTGGATAGTGGCAGTTTAGCTCACAGTCTTGCTCCAGTAATGTGACTTTGCATCCTCTGTTCATGCCAGGCTTACATCTCACCCTTCACAGTGACAGACAGGACTACAAAGCCATTGCTGAAACCAGAATTTGAATTTAAAGTAGAATTTTAAACACTGTGATACTCCTTTCTTTTAACTGGAACTAAAGTTCCTGTGGCTTCATGGCTCAATGTAGCTAACTGAAAAACATACAAAAAATGTATTTTCCTTGATAGCGATGATGTTGTTACTTTAGTTTGGATGGGATGAAAGTGAATATATGCTGTACTGGAGATGCCATAGGGCATGACTTGTAAATGAGGATTCCAGCATATGTTACTGGCTAATGAATCCTCTGGTCCAAAAGCACGTACTTGTGTATTGTCATGCATGTGGCTTCAGTGAATTTCTGATAACACATGGCATGTTATTTTCACACAGGGGAATGTTTATGAACTAAGGAATTATTCATCCTTTGTAAGGAGAAGATTATTACCAATTTTGGACCTATAAATTTCAGTGAAAGATGGGCTATTCTCTTTATCAGAAAATGGAGAATAATTAAGATGGAGTTGAAGGCAGCGGTGAGGGGAAGTCACAGATATTAAGACAGGCCTTGTGGACAGGAGCAGAGAGGGAAGGGAAGGGTGACAGGGACAATTAGAGGTACACAGCCTTTGTCTTGTCCCTACCAGGTTAACTCTCCCCTGCTGAAGGAATGAGAATTGCATCACTTGTCTCTAAGTTATGCTTGCTACTTCCACAAGGGTGCTTAACTCTAAGGAAATTACTCCCTGGTGTCTCAACAGGAATTATAGCAATGCTAGTAGGAGTGTGTTTTAGGTTGTGTGCAATATGCATCCACAGAATAGCAAGTTATTACTGATGAGCCCAGAGCACTCGTGCTTTGCTATATGTCAGGAAACTGCTGCATTTCCTTTCATTGATGGTTTTTGAGTCTGTCACTGTGAAGGACTGATCTAATTCCTCTCTCATTCCAGTACCTGGGGCCTTCATGGTCTTCGAAATAATTGAAGAACATTAGGGTAGAGATATTAGAATCATAGAATCATCAAGGTTGGAAAAGACCTCCAAGTTCAACCAGTCCAGTCCAACCACCCACCTACCACCAATATTTCTCCACTAAATCATGACTTTTAATACAATATCTAAACATTTTTTGAACACCTCCAGTGACTCCCCCACCTGCCTGAGCAGCCCATTTCCTGTGCCTGACTTCTCTTTCAGAGAAGAAATTTTTCCTAACATCCAAACGTGAATTTTCCTTGGTGCAACTTTTGAAACTAGTGGTTACATTATGGTACATAGAAAACTGCAGTTGGAAACCTTTAAATTAATTCTTGTGGAAAGTAGCATTTGGGAAAATTAAGTAATTGTCCTGGTATCGGATTCTTGAAACAGCTTTCTTATCTCTAATTTTGCAGGTCTCTCAGACATTTCCACACTGAAAACTCATGATGTCCTTTAGTACTGCATTTGCTTTCCTTGTTTAAACCTCTTCAGTGTAATGTCTCCTCCATTGTTTCACTCATGGTTCTGGTTGTTATTTCCTCTTTGATGTAAATGCTGGTCTCCATGACTAAATTAAGTGAGGCAGTGGACACAAGATGTACTTTTCTAATGCTGTAATGCTAATGTTATTTGAAACATAACAAAGAAAGCACATCTTATTTTCTGTAGGAATCTCTGAATCTCTTTGAGTAGTCACATTCACTCTGCAGGTAATTATGAACCTGTGAACATTTAGATGGCTTGGAAATAGGTCCACAGGCTTTGGACACTGAACTCCTTTAGAAATCCTTGCCTTAAGTGGCTGTTGTTTATAGGCAATTACCAAAATCAATCTGCTTTCCAACTTTTGCTTACTCCCCTTTCCCTTCCATGCTTGCTTAAATGTGTATTCAGGAGTAAAAATAGGATATTAACTGATAATAATCTTAAATAATTACTGTACCAGGTCACTTTTCTCATTCATATGAAACTGAGACCAATAACATCAGTGTGTCCAAAGATTGAGTTAACTGTATACGCAGAATAACTATATTTACTGATCATCCAGTTGGAGAACAGGGCCCTCTTTTGAAAGATGGTTTCTCTAAGCCATATTTCAGTAGATAGCTGTGATTTTAATTTAAACATGAGTTTTCTGTTATAAGTTGAGCAAGCTTTAATTTAATAGCGAGTTCCACTTGGCAGGTAGGCAATGCATATTCAAGTTGAACTTGTTCTTGTTTACAGTGGAAACCTGAACACTGTTTTCCTAAATGCAGTACAAATAACTATTTTTCCATCTGTATGTGGCTGGGATGAGATATGAGGTTTTAATTGTTACTAATTGATGCTTTTTCTTGGTAGTACAAACAACTAGGGACAACTAGTAAATTAGCGGGGCTGAGAAAATCACCTCATGCCTCACAAGGCATGGCTTGCAACGTGCTGGCTGGCACAGTCGGAAATGGTGTGCTGTTGTGCTGTTGGCTAAGCTTGACAAAAATGTCAAGTAACAAATGAAGGCAAGCCCCACCATGAGGTGAGACAGCAAGCAATCTGTTTTTTTCAGAAGTATCATGCAACTCAACGTGTTTCTGCTTTTGATGGTACCTACTGTGGGTTCAGCTTATCTGAAAATTGTGTCACATCACGTTTTCCAAAGGTGTTACATGTGCTCTGAGCTTGGGATCATGGTTTGAGTCCAGAGTCTCTGAGTCCTTAGATTAATCTCTGTGATTCCCAGATTTTGTTGCTACCCGCTTTTGCCTCTTAAGGACTGCCTTTATTTTGTGGAAGTTTATTGGTTTTTGTTTGCTTTGTTTCTATTTTCTGTGGTGTTTTCTTTGGTACCTCTTTTCCAGCCCCTGGTGTGAGATAGGCAGTCAGGACGCTGTATCTGACAAAGCAAAGCATTGGCCCTGCCCTGACGAACACAACATTAAATTTATGGGCAGATGTCAGTGCACTTTAGCAGTGGGTGGAAAAGAGAGTACGTGAAGTGTGTAGTCTTGATAAACTATGCTAAAATTCAGAGCTGTACAGGCATTCTGTTTTAACATTCACAGTATATGGAAACGTATTTGGAGAAACAGTGTCTGGGATAGTCTGTCTGGAAGCAATGGATAGGTCTCAGAGCAGAATTTTGCCCATGTGAGGTTTGTAGATTTTTTCAGGTGCCTCATAAAAAAAAGCAAATAGAGATGTAGACGGATGCCTTGCCGAACAGCTGTGTGACTCATAGCAAAACTCAGTGTAGTGAGAACATGCCAACTGAATTGCTTTTGGCACTGTGCTTGAACAAGCTCATTGCTTCTTTTGTTCTCTTGATTAGCTTTGCAACATAATATAAGTATTAATAATTGACTTCAGGCTTCATAATCAGGCATTATGAGTTAAATGTCTCTCCACCCAGAGAGGAGTTAGAAAAATAATGATAATTAAAAAAAAATCAATATTGCACTTGAAGGCGAAAGATGTGCTTTCACTGTTTATTACACTTGTTGGTTTATTTCCATTTTCCAGCTTTACAATATTAGAATGACCCAAATGCTGAATAGTACTGAAAACAGTATGAGTTTCCAGGAAAATACTGGATGCTTATCAGAGTTGAAATAAATTAATAGGGCCAGATTTTTTGGAAGAACTTCTTGCCAGTATCACCACGTAGATGAATCAGCCAGATCTTTAAGTGTGACTCTCCACCCACTTCTTCCTCACTTTTTAGCTTATTAAAATTTGCAACACTGCTAGAGCTCTCTGCTGAGGTAACTTTTATTATCTGGTACTATTACAGATTTAAGGAATCTTGGCAACAAACAACAATATTATTCAAGGAAATCAATGGACTATAGTGAGCATTTCCAAAGCCCAGAAGTACCTGTACTTGAGTGTTGTCTCCTTTCTCTGTCACAGCAGTTAAGTGCAAGTAAGCACTTGTACTGACAGGGGACCTCACAAGTTGTTGCTTGCCGGTAAACCTTATCTGGCTTTATTACATGAACGGTGAATAAAACTGTGTCTCTATACAAACTTTGAATTATAAATCAGTTCCATTTTTATAAAATAAAGCAGTGGTTGCATGCACATGTGTTTGCCTTGCCACTGGCTTTGTTCTGTAATGTTCCCTGCAATCAAGCTGTATGCTCACTTGCAGTCCTTTGGTTTCCTTTTTATATCATAATCTGCTTAATGTTATATAAAGATTGAGTACTTACTTAGTAGTAGTGGACTGCAAACATGCATACCAGAAAGACTGTCAAATGTACAAGCAAAATGTGGTAGGAGCACAGTAGCCAACAGGCAGAGCCCTTTGCATTAAAAAAAAAATTCTTTGCCCTGGTTGGCATGGTTTGGGATCAAAGCTAGGATATTATTCTGTGTAGCTGCAAAAAGAAAATAAAAAAGAAGGAAGTGGATAAGGTCAGAGATCTGCTGAGGCTATCTGCAGACTGTGAATTTGTGGATACTGTACAAGAACCTCTAGGCAATTTAACAATAGTTTTAAAAGTGTGATTATCTTCTAGATTGCCGGCACGTGGAATGGTAGCTCTCATGAAAAAGAGAGCATGGTGTAAGCAGGTGGGGAGACTGATACCTTGAGCCAGTGCTCATTAGTGAAAGAAAAAGTGTATTGTATTGTCACATACTCAGAGCAGCTCTTTGGCCTGGACCTCTGAGGATATTGACTGCCTGGAGTACAGCAAACTGCACTGCAGAGCAGGGGTGTGACAACCAGTGCAAGGACATAACCACATATGACCTTTCCTGGCTTCTATTGCAGCCTACCTCTGCCTCTTGGGCCATGCAGCACTCAAGTAGCCACAGGAACTGGATGACCATGGAGATGATAAGCCTTGTCTATGCTTTCTTGGCTCTACTCTGACTTTCCTTTTTTTTTTTTTTTTTTTTTTTTCAGCTGTGGAGAGGAGAAGAGCAGAAGCAATCTTCAATGACAGTAAGTGGGGGCTTTTTAAGCTTGAGAAACTTCTGATTATTGTAATTAGCTTTAAGAGTCTCCAAGCACTTTTCCTTGCTCTTCAAAGCCTTTTTTCTTCCCTTTTGTCAAACAAATGTGTCCTTGTGCTTTACATGTATGAGAAACTCCTGCTTAGATAAGTAAGAAGTCTTAGTCATAGAGAAGCCTTTTGTTAGTGCTTTCTGGGATACTTAGGAAAGCTCTAACTACTAACAAAAACAATCAGTATAAATTGGGTGAAACTTCTTTCTAGGAAAAGTCCCCACCCATCTCTGAGTCCCATCAGTTTTTCTGTAGTGAGATGATCCTCCTGTTAATATAACAGCAGTTGAGAGAGAGCTGTTTAGAAATCCCCAGGTTTGTGCAGAGAGAAGACATGCAGGTCCTGCTGCATCACTCTATGGATGACAGATGGCCATAGCACAATCCTGTCTTCAGCAGCATCAGTGTGGTAGGTGGAGGGTGCACCTTAAATGTAAAACCTGGTATCTAGGAAATCGATGACTTAGTAAACAAGGGCTGAGCACTGTGGTTTCAGGACACTTGCTTATTTTGTGTCATTGGACATGCAGACAATAAGCCATATTTTTGTGAAGGCTAAAAAATTTGGATAATTCTAGGTTTACAAAATTTAGGTAACTCCTAGGTGTAGGCAGTGAAAAAAACAAGTGAACAGTGAAGACTTCCAATAAAGAAAAACTTAATTGCTTGGTCTAACTGACTACTTTAACATCAAGCACAGCAGCTATCTGAAAGGTTAATGAGAGTGTGATGAAGGTAAGAGAGTCCTTATCAGGGATTTGAGCAGGTTACACTTAAAAGCAATCTATTAAAAATGGATTAAAATGTGTACTTAGTCACATCTATAATCCTGCGTGCATAGGGCTGACACCCAGTCCTCTCTTCTTCTTGGAGAGACTGCAGACTGTTTCACATATGCTTGTCTTTGATGCCGTAGCATAACAATTCATCTCGTATTGTTTTTTTTTCCATACATGCACTAAGTGATGAGGCTTACACCTGACACTTTAAGGATAGCAACCAAGCAGAGGCCTATAGTACACCCTGTGAATGTAAGGTGGCACAAAATCCAGTAGGAATGGGCACATGCAGAGGAGTTTGAAATAGTGGCTTTCAGTGTGCTCTTAGAAAGTGGAAGATTGGAATTTTCTTTTGTGTGTATTGGAAGTAAGGAAGGACAACGGTAAAATGTACAAAAGTAATGTCACTCTCTGATTATAATGAAAATATGATGGCTTTGGAATGGATGGTAGCTCAAAAATTGCTATGTAAATGTTAGACAGTGTGATCAGTCTTCTAAAGATACATTTGTAGGGGTCGAGTTGAGGTAGTCTGTTTTAAAGATGTTTGAGCTTTCAGGGACAAAGTTTATTTAGTGATTGAAAAGTTGTAAAAAACCCATCTTCAAATGGTTTTCAAGTAATGGAAGATGAAATAACATTTCTTTTGGGGTTCATTTTAAATTCTGGTGTTCCTGGGTTCCTGAGGGAACTGTGAGTTTTCCCTTGTTTTGAATGCAACAGGTAGTTCATAGCATTGTGCAGATCTAGGTCCAGTAATTGAAGATTACCAATAGTTTTCAGAAGGAAAAACATGCTATTATAGACAATCTCATCAGCTATTGTATACCTTCCCATTTTCCTTTCACATGGGAAGTTTTGTACAAGTAGCTGTATCTTTACATGCCACTGATTTCCTTCATCGCAATTTTAAATTTCATCACAGTGCAGACACTACACTGACCCTATGATTTTCTAGATATTGTGTGATAGTTTCCAAATTTATGAACAGCTTTCAATCTGCTGAGTTATCACTGCTGCTTTTGACTATGAGGTACTGTTAACATCACCTTGTGCAGATCCTAGCAGGAAGGGGCAGAGGTTACGCTCTGCGTGGCTCCAATGTTTGCCTTCTGAGGACTTCAAGGGTCTGGTGCTGGCAGCTCTTCAGTGAGGTATTGCGGATTTCCATGTTGTCCCCCCTCTGGGTCACTGTCTGAGGGAGACAGACAGTGCAATAGTTCGTTTGATATTGTCACTATGCAAATAATTCTTAGCTCTGTCTGTTTTTCAAACAATCGGGATAGTTCTGTATCTCTACTTTCCTAATGCCTAGCTGAAATCTAGGCCTGGATGAAAGCTAGTGAGTCTTGGTCCAGGTAAGATGAATTTGATGCTGACCGAATGGGAGAAAAAAGCTGAAACAGCTCCCTCATTTGAGGAAGTTTCTAAAGCTACTGGGGAGCTTCATCTGTTCCTGAATGTCTGTTTTATGGCTGAAGCCATAGATATTTTTATTTCTCTTCAAGTTGGGAAAATAATACTTCATGGATGCACACCATGCTGGAGGTATCCATGTTTATTTTTTGATCTCTGGCTTGGATTGGCATGTTGTTCTTTGCCTGAAGCAACTCTCAAGGTTCGTTTGCAAATGGCCATTTGTGCAGTGTATGATTGCGTGGTTCCAAGCAGCAACTTACTTATGTAGTCTGCATGCGTGCTTAGTAAAAACCCATGGCTTGGACCACTGCCATCATTCATGTTTTATCCTTTTGGCAAATCACCTGAAATGTTTGAGTTGGCAATCCCTAGACTTGGAAATTGTCCTGTTTGTGTGGTGAAGGGTTTTGATTCTTGATTTGGGCTGTTGGTGTGCCTCAGCCTGAATCGTTGACCATCATGGTTTACCATGATAGTCAGTTGTTCATTCAGGCTTCTAACAGAATGGGTTATGCATGAGGATCTCTGTTCTGGGAACTGGTGGAAGGTATGTTTTCATATTGATGGATACTGTTGGAGAACCTAGTGCTGTGTGATTTTTGACATCTATTTTCCACAGTACCTACAGCCATTGGCAGGCATGCTTACTAAACAGACGAGTAACTAATATATATTTTTTTCCTTTCTGACAGTCTGCGGGTTACGACAGAATAGATCAGTCAAGTCAATAGCAAAAGCAACATCCTTGAGAATAGTTGGAGGATTGTCTTCTGCAGAGACTGGAGACTGGCCGTGGCAAGCTAGTTTGCAGTACAATAATGTCCATCGCTGTGGTGCAACGCTTATCAGCAATACTTGGCTTGTATCTGCTGCTCACTGCTTCAGAGAGTAAGTTCCCAGCTTAGAGAGAATCTGCAGCAGAATGTGCTCTGTTTGGATCAAGCTGTGGGGCTTTCCAGATTTACAACACACCCCTAACTCTTTCCAGGAGAACAGTTTTCTGCCTTGGAGGAAGAAAAAAAAAAAACAAACAGGTTTGGGGTGAGCTTGTTTCTAAAGGTGTTCTTTCACACTGCAATTAGGTTGCTGCTTCTGCGGGCTGCTACCAGAAGTTCTAAGCCCAGATTTGTATCTTTCCATTTAACCATGCACTCTCAGAACTTTTTGTTTCAAGTGCAGCCATTGTGAAACTTCAGGACATGTAAGATGGAACAGCTGTTTGAGTGAATTATTAACATCCAGAAAAAGAAAAGATGATTTTTCTAGCAGAAGAGCTTTTTGGGCTGATTACACACACCCTGTGGCTAAACAGTGGCTAGATCAGGAATGAGAAGTTGAAGGGAGTAGGAAACCATGGTTGAGAAGAGAGTGCAAGATTGCCCTCTTCTAGTAGCAACCCACAATTACATGGGGCACAGTGTTATGAGAATTGATGGATGCCTTAAGAACTTAGTAGGGAACTGGCTTGAAGGGGTTGTAAGATAAAGATTCTTGAGAATTTTAAACACCTGAGTACATGTATTCACAGTCAAATATTTACAGCACTCTTACCTTTTTCAGAATGAGTCACCCTCACAAGTGGACTGCTACTTTTGGAGCTCTTTTGAAGCCACCAACCTTGAAACGATCAGTCAAGACTATTATTATTCACGAAATGTACCGCTACCCAGAACATGATTATGACATTGCACTTGTGAAGCTCTCTAAACAAGTTGAGTTTACGAGTAACATACACCGTGTTTGTCTGCCTGAGCCATCTCAGACTTTTCCATATAATATTTATGCTGTCATCACAGGCTGGGGAGCACTTACCAATGACGGTGAGTCCCACGTCTGCCAGGCAACCCATGTATTGCATGAACCAGAGCACTGATTTACTACTGAATAGGTATCACTTGTGTAGCTGTATGTTATATGGCAGCAAGCCTGATTTTTTGTCTACAAGCAATAGATTTGTTCAACAGTGAGCAGCAGTTTCTTGCTCTAAAATTAGACGTGACAAAGAAAGAGGTACTATCCACTTAAGCAGAAAATAGCATAAATGTCCTCTTTTTTTTTTCCAGCCTTTCCATATTATATTGTAGATACTTGAGACAGGTGGCCAAGCCACGCATGTGTTAATGGAGAGCCTAAAAAAATATTCTCTTAGCTCGAGCCAGAAGCCTACAGAAAGCCGTGCAGGCTTTCAAGAAAATTTCCACAGTGAGCTAGATATGATCACTTGTACAGACTTGCATATATCAGGCCAAGCTGTGAGTACATTTAGCAATAGAACCAAGATGCTTTGATGCCATATCATGTGCCCAAATGGATAGGTAATTTGTGTTCCATGGTATCAGATGGAAATGTGTACAATACAGTGTTACACTTGGGGCACTGTGTATCATGCAATCATTAGTTCTGTCTTAATATTACAGTTTCTAAGTGAAACTATGAGTATGTATTTTTTTCTTAAGGGCCCAGCCTAGAGAGAGTAAGAAGTAAAACCTCCATATTGTATCAAATTAATCTGGTGCTTGGTAAGACATTAAATGCAATTCTGTTAATGCCTGTACTACTCTTTCCCTCAGGTCCCACTCCTAATGCTCTTCAGGAAGCAACAGTGAAACTTATTGACTCGGACACTTGCAACAAAAAAGAAGTGTATGATGGGGACATAACACCCAGGATGTTGTGTGCTGGGTACTTAGAAGGAGGAGTAGATGCTTGTCAGGTAACAATAACTGAAAATTAAAAAGGAAAACTCTTTTAATGCTGATTTCAGTATTTGGCCAACTGAATATTCACTAACAGTATAATAGTCCTTTAAATAGGCTCTGTTCAAACAGGAATTAAGATGTGAAGTGAAGTAGCACTTCTTAAAATTATTTAGCAAGTAAAATCCATACTGAAGGAGCTAAATTAGCATAACGCTCAGAACTTAAACCTTTCATGGCATGAGATGAAATTTTCATTTTGTAACTCAAAATAGCTGCTATAAGCCCAATTGCTTCTCATCATATCTTCTATGAAATCTGTTTTTCAAAAATGTATCCTGTACATTGATGCTTTATTCCTCCTTTGCTGTTGCTATTCCACACCAGACCCTTATTTGCTGGACAGCAATCACTAGCAGGTGCTTATATTTTTGCAGGTGTTTGAACAAAAATATTACCACCTGCAAAAATATTACTACAGGGATAACTTTTAAAAAGGCAACTGCTATTAATGTTACTTACAAAAAAAAAAAAATAAATACATGTAAGTAGTGATTCAAAACAGACCCTTTCCAAAATCCCAGTCCTATGGATTTAAACAAAAGCTGTTTGCAGGTAAGTACTGGAGACCTAATTCCTCTGTTCCTGTCTCACTCAGCATTGAAGAGACCTGAACAGAAGGGTGCAGCTGCTGTGTATTTCAGTAATGCATCTTGCTGGATGATGGTGTATTTGTTCTGTTGTGTGACAATTGCCTTTAAGCCTGCAAGATTTCCACTGAACTGTTATTACCATGTCATGCTACTAACAGCATCTGAATTCAGCCTTTGAAAATGACTAATGTCTTAAGAGATATTATCTAATTAGAAGACCAATTTTCTGATGAAATCCTTTCTGAAATGTTATTGCTGCAAGTGTCTAAAAGAGTTTGCTGAAAGGATAGTGGTTTCTGTAAAAACAAATAAAAAAATGACTTTGAGGAGAAGACAAAGCAGTATGAGGAATGCTTCACAAAATGAGAAGGGTCACAAAATGAGAAGGGAATTTTTTGTTTGCTTGATTTTTAATGGAAGGATACTGTACAATCACAGGCCAGTCAAGAGACTTCATGGCAAATAGGAAATAGCCACTGACTGCAGACTCAAATTTCACATATACCCTGGATTCTGCACAAGTGGCAGCTCTTGAAACACTGCTTGCTTTTCTGTCTTACTGGATGCACCAGACCCTCTTGTCTAATGATAAGACTTAGATTTTCCCTTCTGAACAAATAAATCTTTTTTTTTCCCCCTCCTCTTTCTCCAGGGAGACTCTGGGGGACCACTGGTTACTCCAGATTCTAGACTGATGTGGTACCTCGTGGGAATAGTGAGCTGGGGAGATGAATGTGCCAAGCCAAACAAACCTGGAGTTTATACACGAGTGACTTATTTCCGTGACTGGATTACCTCAAAAACTGGCATCTAATTCCAAAATCAAAAATGGATTTAATTACATAGGTTACATGTAACTCATAATTGTCTGTACTTGTGAAAGGTTATTTTTTTTTTTAATATGTGTATTCCTATTAGTTATGGTCAGAGCAAGTTTTGCCTGCAGCAAGCACTATCTTTGCTGTCAGAGATCCTAAGCTCTTGTGAATTTATACTAAACATATGAGATTGCCTTCCTCATCTTCCAGCTTTGAAGAGTTCTCATTTTTATCAGAAAATATAAACAGGTGTTATTCAACTAACATATAAAAGCTAGCAATTTACCTCCTTAAAAACACAAACATTTTTTCAGGAAATAAGAAATTTTTTTCAGCTATGGCTGAGGTCTGAAGATGTCCACACTCTAAGCATAGAGGAAGCTGAACCTTCTTCTTCCAGTGAAGCAAATATTGTCACAGCTGTGTTTCTAGGAAAGTGAACCCTTGATTATTATTCTTGTTAGAGATCATCATCTGCACAGACTGCATCTGAGATCCTGCATACTCACCCTGCTCAGTGGTCTTCATAGCTAATAGCGGATCCGCCAGGACTGAGGGTAGGTCCAAACTAAGGAAGAGGAGGATTTCTGTGCTTGCAGTTAGTTCAATGGGACAAGACAGAAGCTTGATGTTCTTGTTATAAAGCACGTTTTTAAACAGATTTTTTGGTAGATTATATGAAGTTCAAGTTACTCAAAAACGCTATTGTAGAAGTGCTTTGTCGTGATGCTGTGCTGCTACTTCTGGAGCAATGCCCTTCTCTACAGACTGTTCAACTCACATCATGCTAATGATGCAGAAACACAAGCTCTACCAAACTTTATTTGTCATGTGTGAGCCCACAAACAAGCTCACTGGAATGCAACCCAGCATTTAAATTTATGCCAAAGGAAAAAGAAGTACTTGCCACAAATAATCTGGGAACTGCCTTTTTACTTCAAGTCAAGAAATGGTGTGCTTTCCAAGGGCATGCCAACCAACAGAAGTCATCTCACTGCAAAGAAAATAAATAGTGATAAACCATCTTGTTTCACTGATGGATTAATTTCTGCCATGGATAAATGTGATCCTGTTTTATGAGTCTGAAGAGCAATTTCATATTGAAGAACAGTCCAGATGGAAACGTCAGAGTAAATGCTATCTTTATATGCAGATTAAGCACTTTTCCTACCTCTGTGCATGACATCTACTAGATTTTTGTTGGAAAGGAGTCCAGTGACATGACTATTGCTGTTCCCTACAGCCCAGGCCTTCAATATACGGAACCAAAATGTCAATCCAGTACTGTCTCCTTCTGCTGTCTTTGAATGGCCACAGGACTGCTTTTAGGCTGTGAATACAGGACTCAAGGAGTCTGTACGAGACGTGAAAGAAGCTGCAAACCCCGCAGCTAAACTTAAAACAACTGAAAATCTCTCCAGAGCATCTCACCTCCTCTTCTGCTCAGGATTGGGTCTCTCCTCAGCCTTTCTTCTGTGCAAGCTCTGTAATAATCAGAATCCATGGGAACAGGATGCTTACCATTTCCTGAAAAGTCAAACCCTGAATGAAAATGTACACATGGATGGAAAAACCTATGTTGAAGCCTTAAAGGGGTGGGGGAGAGATCGTCTTATTTTTCAGCTCCTTCCAGTCTTTTTTCCATATCTTTTGAATTTTAGTTTAAAAAAAACCAAGAACAACAAAACAAGCAACCATCAAAAATGAAGATGCCTTGTCTCAGAAAGAATTGAAGGTTTTAGTTTAGCTTTGCTTTTGAAATAATAGTATCTTTCTTCTGATTTTCCATATTCATTTAAAAATGAAAAGGATCTTGGGACAGTTAGGAGGATAGTTGGATGCAGCAAATCTGTTTCCTTAATTTATTGATGAAGTTTGTAATTTATGCACTTTTGAGTTGCTGCTATTTTTAAACTAAGAATTTACTCTGGGCTGAATGCAAACTGTAGAGTTTGGGATTAGGTCACTTGGGAACACTGTTTTCTTCTAGTGTTCAGGTCCCACTAATGTAGGAGAATGAGGAAAAGAAATTACACCTAGTTTTTTGTGCCTCTTATTGTTTTGTAGCTGAATGCCCTTCCTTATAATCAGCAGATGAATTGCAATTGAAAGTAAACTGTAGTTCACTTTCAGAGGAACGTAAGGCTTTGTTTTTCACTTAAATCCATCATTTTGTCTACCAAATGGAGGGGCAGCAATAAGGGGTCAAGGCCCAGGTTATCTATAATCCGTATAAACTGGTTCCTACCTCACAATGAAAGTAACATGTATTTAATACCTTTAAAATGAGAAAGGCAGCCTTTATTTCAGATTTTATTGTGAGAGGCCAAACAGCCAAGAGGTGTGTAGGAGAATGTCTACCTTACTCAGGGAGTCCTGAGCCAGCCAGATGCACTTTTCTTCACAAACTTTTAACAAACTGTCTGGCCTGGGTTTGTCTTATACTCCATGTCAGTGTTTTATTTATGAAGATTCTGTTTTCTGCGGTAGAATTAAAAAAAAGAGAGAGAGACTATTGTGTGATTAAGGAAAAAGATTTTTAAAAACCTTTTATTATTGTTAAGATTTAGTAAGGATTTGAATGATATAAAGGTAATATATTTCGTAACATTAAATGTATTTAAAAACGCTCCTTTTTTGTCCTTTCTTCTTTAATAGTAACTGTTGAAATGTGTGATTGACTCAGAATAAACTAGTCTTTAGTTTGTTGTGAGACTATTCTGAAACTTCAGTTCTTTCTGTTCATTCCTGATCCTAGGAATTTTCCTTTAACAGTAGCTGGAGCTTTACAGACATTTCTGCAGCAACAGAAGTGAGACATTAATTTTTTTAAAACACTAAAATACTATAATGGGAATTTCAATACATTTAGTGCTATGTAAATTTGAGAGTAAATCTGAACCTTCATCCAGGAAACAACCACCATGCTTCTTGCCTTGTGAAATCCTATCCTTGTAACGTGACCTTCCTGGCTCTTGGCAGTAGGGACTTCTATGCAGCTGACATACCAATTCTCCTGAGATTACCCAGGCAGATTTACAGCTTCCAGAAGCATGTTCCAAACTTCTGGTTATCCAAACCAAGTTGGTTGAGGCTTGCCCAATGCTAACTTGCAACCTGAAGCACAAATAGGAAGGAAATAAGAGCCTGATTGCACAAGGCCTAATCGCCTGAGGAGGTCTGGTTGAGTGACATCAAGCAGTCATTGGGATACCTTATGTAAGTAAAGCTTGTGGAAACTCCAATTCTGCTGTTCCTGTTAACAAATTAGAAGAGCTGAGAGCCAAAAGATATTATGTACCCCAATTAATACTTATCTGGCAACTTGCAGTTTGTGTTAGAGATACACATGCATGGAAAAGCTGGCTTTTGCTTTTGGAAATGCTTTCAAGCATGTTAGCTTGGATTTACCTTGGGTAATTGGTACCTTTTGTTTATCTGCATCAGGATTTTAAGAACGTTGTTAATGTGGTTTCTAGGAAGGTGTCACACTATTTAGAGCAGCTTTAAGTGAGAAGATTCTTTAGCCCATCACACTGTGAAGGTGGGGGCCTTTAAAATGTGCCAGCAAAGCACTTCCACATCACATGTCCTGACAGCACCTCATTGTTTTAAGAGCCCGTGGTCAGCCATAGCTTATGGCAAGATGTTTGGAAATCTACTGAAATAATGCTTCTGATGTGGATTTATGGGTATTTCTGCACAGGCCTGTGTGCTAAAGAGAATTGTGTAACACATTTCTAGTGAGAAAATGATACGGAGATTTGTGGCTAATTTATTAACTGATCAAGTCAGAAAAGCAAAGGCATCCTCCCAATCTCCCCTAGGGAGTTCTTATCAAGAATTAGAAATTGCAGCTGAAATTCAGACAATTAACACTTAAAAAGTGTTAGCAGCTGAGATTTTCATAGCAGATGGAAGGGAGCTTTACAGCTATCTGCTGTAGTTCCTTTTGCAAACGTTGGCTTTAAAGAGACATTCAATACCTGTGTACAGATTGAATCTACGATAATGCACTGGCCTAAGCACAGAAAGATTGTTCTGATAGCAAAGTACCAATGATTGGCCTCAGAATGCCAGAAAACTGAAAGCCTTATGCTGATACCTTTTGCCAATCTCAAAAACTATAGCTTACTTTAATATGGTACAAATACAGAGGATTATTTTGTTTTCTGATTAATTATTTTTATTTTTTATAACTAAGGTCTTAGGTGTGTGTGTATATATATATATATATATACAAGATGATATACATAGATATATTACATATTCTATGTATATATACATAGAAGATAATATACAAGGTGTGTGTGTATATATATATATAATATATATACAAGATGAGGTTGTGCGTGAAAAGAAAGAAGTGGCTCCAGTTGTTTCAACTTTTGCAATCTTGGAAAATAAGCACTAAACCTGTGTGTTTTTTATTTGGTACTGTCAAAAAAGAGAGCTCCTGAGTATACCTGCTGCCAATTGATGTGTCTGGGAACCTGTTTCTTTGGCTGCTATGGTAAACAGAACCTGTTGGTTTTATTTGGCAGTTGGGCTTAGAATGCCTGTATTTATAGTTTCATTGACAATGAGTCTTTGTTTTATTCCTGCTGAACTGATGGGCAAGAATTAACTGGTTGTTGCTGTTTCTTCATTTAGGCAAAAGGGCTTTTCAGTGTTACTACACAAAATCTGGTTTGTGTGGAATGACTGCATATTGAGGTGATGTGCATCTCAAGAGTGCAATAACCAGGACAGAAACAGGGTATGTAGCAGATCTTTTTTTTTTTTTTAATTTTTCATAACACATTTGGTTGATACATTCTTAAAAACAATAAGTGTTAGTTTAACTTTAATACATATAGAGAGAAGCATGCTCACTTGTAAGGAAAGAAACCACAAATTAAAGGTAAAAATCACTGAGAAAAAATATCAAAGTGGCAAAACTAGAGCTGATATATTTTTTTTTTTGCATCTTCAAACTTCTTTTTTTTTTTTTGTT